TCGAAATGTAACGACCCCGAGAAATATATGTCACTACTTCAACAAAATGCCAAGTCACTTACAGATCATGAAAATATCGACTGAACAGAAAATCGCTGAAAATAAGGGATGGGCACTTAAAATATATTTACTTCAACAAATCTTAACGCGCTAACAAATATCGAATAGATAAACGATAACTGGAGCAATTAATTCATATTGCGTAAGTGACCTAATATGTTATCAATATTCTGGTTGTGTGTGTTAAGCCCAAGCCAACAGAAAAACACTGAACCCAATTTATATTTCGTTAATGATATAATGTGGGCACTCAAAGTCAGTTCTTAATTAGCTACATAAGTAGAAAACGTCAAGGCATATTCTCACTAACAATCTTATGTGTCGTTTTTTTTTTAATAAAATATGTAGATTAATCAATTTTCTTTTATTAAAATATCGACTAATGAGAAATTATCAATAACAATTTTGTACTTCGTTTATTTCAGCGTCTTGTGGCGGAGGTCAAAAGGGCGGGAAACTGAGTGAAATTGCCTTCATATCTATATACTAAAAAAAGGAAACTAATCTACTAATTTAGATTATTAAAATATCGACTAAATCATTAAAACTGATTTATACTTAGTTTATTTTGTCAAGTCGTTGCTATTAGATGAGTGCTCTGACAAACTGGATAGAATGCTCAATTTTTCTCTATTGCATCTCTATAGTATTTATTTCTTTAAATAACAGAGATATATGTGGTTTAACGTCAATTCAGCACAAACTAGGTCAACTAGGGACTAACATATTCATAATGGTACGATTTTATTTCACTGCTTGTCACATACAAGCTTTGATCGAAACCACGTCACTTGACTAAATAACAGATCTTATAAACTAAAACGCACGTGTCAGACCACCAAACCATCCCTCCATTACCACTGGGGATTGTGACTCGGGGGGGGGGGGTAGCATTAGGGAACTAACAAGTGAGGAGTGGAGTACCGGGAGAATACCGATGATAGTAGGCAGACAACTCTACTATTTTTCACTCACAGACACAGGACGTGCTTTGATCACAGGCCTCCATTAGGCATGTTTCGTCGAGTTGATCATATATTATTATATTGGTGAAAGTCACAGAACAGCTTTAATTCAGAAATAAAGAGCAGTACACCTATACATGTATATATCATTTAGTTTTATACATAGATGAAATGAAATGAGGGTTAATGTCCTACTGTTCTACTCCTATACACAGAGAGAGAGAGAAATGGGAGAAACGTCCACTCGACACAAACTATGGTTTAATTTTATTTCAATAATTCACTTGCGCGTAGGGGTCTTTAGTAGTGGGAGGAAACCGGGGAACCAGGAGAAAACCCACGAGGTTGGACAGGCGACCCTAATCCTTTTCGAAACCGCGCCAGTTGACTCAATGACAGGCCTTATGATACAGCGTGCCCGTGCTAACCATTCGGCCATCCAACCCCCCTTCTATACAGAGATGAAAGTATCATCAAAATTCTGACTATGTGTAAATTCGACGCTAATTGATATGACGCCAAAAAAGATTACATGTAACAGCTACTAACGAGAGAGTGAGAAATGGGGTTTAACGTCCACCTGACACACACTAGGTTATTTCGGAACCAACAAATCGTTCAATTTTATTTCAATAATTCTCTATAGCAGTGTGAAGAAACCGGAGAACCCGGAGAAAATCCACGAGGTTTGTCAGGCAACCTTATTCCTTGTCACGTGAATCGAAACCGCGCCATTTGACTCAATGCCAAACCTTATAATCAAACGTGCACACGTTAACTATTCGGCCATCCAACCCCCCAGAGCGATTAACGGAAACTAAAGCGCACTAACGGCTTGATGTGTTACTTAAAGATGCATTATGTGAGCTTTAGATAAAGAGCTGACAGTTCTTGCTATAATAATTAAACCGCGGCGGCTGCCAGGCAGTATACGCCCACATTTTCGAGAGATGGACAAAGACCATAATTCAGGAAATTACAATTCGATATGCGCAAATATCGAAAGGAGCCGAGATCTTTGGGTTATAAACTTACATTTCAAGTTTCAACAAAGTCAGATAAAAATTGTGACCTCTATAGGGTCCACAACCTTGATATACCATATTTTTACGCTATTTGAGAACGAGGGGCGGCCATTTTGTCGGTCAGTTTTTGGCCGATTTTCACGAAATTCAAACTCAGCCGTCCTTAGGGTGTAACGGTGATATAATAATACGGTTTTTCAAATCGGATAAAAATTATGACCTCTATAGGGTCCACAAGCTAAAAACGCGATTTTTCGAACAATCAGGGGCCATAATTCAGGAAGTTACGTTCTGATATGCGCAAATATCGAAAAGAACGGAGATCTATGGGTTATAAGCATACAACCAAATCGGATAAAAATTGTGACCTCTACAGTGTTCACAAGCTACAAACGCGATTTTTCGTACAATCAGGGGCCATAATTCAGGAAGTTACTTTCCGATATGCGCAAATATCGACAGGAACAGAGATCTATGGGTTATAAGCATACATTTCAAGTTTAAACCAAATCGGATAAAAATTGTGACCTCTACAGTGTTCACAAGCTAAAAACGTGATTTTTCATACAATCAGGGGCCATAATCCATGAAGTTACAGTCCGATACATGCCAATATCGAAAGGAACCGAGATCTTGGGGTGATAAACCTATATTTTAAGTTTCATTGAAATCGGATACAAATTGTGACCTGTAGACTGTTCACAAACAATTGTGGACGGACGTCCGGACGGACAGGGGCGACGACAATATACGTCCACGTGTAAATGCGGGCGTATAAAAAGAGATGATGGAAAGGGAATTATATCAGCAAAATTACTTCATTTTGAGTGACGTTACGGCTGTTTGGCCATTGCTACCGTTGTTACGATTGTAAACAAAGTGTCGATTATCAATGTTTGGATTAATTGATTAATTTCCAATCGTTATTAACTACGTTGAAAATCAAAAGCATCCAATGGTCCAAAGAGTTGATTTTGGTCTTGCCAAGTTAATAAATGTCTAATTAATAACTTATATAACATTTACGCCTTAAGTTATCTTTAAAGGAAAAATAACCCATTTAGTTATTTTTTTTAAAAAAAATTGTTATACAACAAATTGCTGCTGACAAGTCCATATATAGAACTAAATATCCCGTATATTATTATATACTTTATTAAATTCTTAAAGGACAAACGATTATGTCACCCACTAAAGTACAAGCTCTTAACAAAACAAGATTACTAGATCAAAAAAAATTTCACAACTATATTACATGTAATTCGGCGTTCGATCCACAAAGGTCGTATCCAGTTTCGTTATTTATAGTTCAGAATTTATACTTTTACTTGTCTTCAATACACTTCATGCCATGGAGACCAAGGTCATATTTCAATAAAACGAAAAGTTAAGCTAATAGCTAACAGCTGGGGCAAACATGGCGCCTATGTCCGTTCCGGATCCTAAGCTGCCTTGGTTCCCCATTGTCAGTGGTGTAGGACGGAGGGCATGGCAACGTACAACGTATCGTCTTTCGGATGCGACGAACAACCGCGGCGCCGTGAACACATGCGTATAAAATAACCCCTGAAAGTTGAAATTAGAAATGCGAGTAGGCCATAGCCTTGCTGTACGGGAAAAATTTCCCTCATAGGACACTGTATGTCAAATGCCCGTCCGCTGTCCGGGTAAAATTACCTTTACAGGACACTGTATGTTATATACCCGTCTTCATTAGCCCAATATTAGCAGAACAGTAGAACGTTAAACCCGACTTCATTTCATTTTTTCTAAGCTGTTTTCTCTGGGTCCTCCAGTTTCCTCCCACTGCTAAAGACCCCTACGCGCAAGCGAATTACTGAAATAAAATTGAACCATGTGTTAGTCCCGAAATGCCCTAGTTTGTGTCCACTGGACGTTAAACATTCGTTTTCAATGACACTCGTTATTTCATATTTGTTTTTTCTAATATTGACACTAATGGACACCGTGACCGAAGGTGGTCCAACTCTATATATGCCCTGGCGGAGGTCACTTAAATTATCCAATTAATATTAGCCAATGAAATATCAGATATGGAATGGGGTTTGGCGTCCTACCTTCCTGCACCAACTCAGACTCCTAAGACGAATAGGAAATTAAATGAAGTAGGGTTTAACCTCCTACTGAAGACAATAGCGAAGGAAATGGAATGGGGTTTAACATCCTATTGAAGACGAATAGGAATGAAATGAAATGGGGTTTAATTTCCTATTGAAGACGAATGGATAATGGAATCAAATGGGTTTAGCGTCCTATTGAAGACGAATAGGTAATAAAATGGGGTTTAACGTCCTATGGAAGACGAATAGGTAATGAAATAAGATTGGTTTAACGTCCCATTGAAGACGAATAGGTAATGAAATGGGGTTTAACGTCCTATTAAAGACTAATAGGTAATGATATGAAATGGGGGTTAACTTCCTATTGAAGACGAATAGGTAATGAAATCAAATGGGGTTTAACTTCTATTGAAGACTAATAGGTAATGACATCAAATGGGGTTTAACTTCCTATTGAAGACGAATAGGTAATGACATCAAATGGGGTTTAACTTCCTATTGAAGACGAATAGGTAATGAAATCAAATGGGGTTTAACTTCCTATTGAAGGCGAATAGGTAATGAAATCAAATGACTAGGTAATAAAGTGATTAGGGTATGTAGAAAGGACCAGTGGTAAGAGGAACCGAAATGAAAGAACAGATGGGACGTAAATAAGTTGCTAGATTATGTATGGTTCATACAATAATTGGCTTGCGCGTAGGTATTTTAGGAGTGGGAGGAAAGCGAAGGACCTAGAGAAAACCACCAAGGTTTTATCTAAGTGGAAATAAAGAGTTGCTGTTAATTACACTGTATTATTTTGTTGTGGGAGACCTCTGCTTATCTGAACTTGTTACCTAAACTATTTGTCTTTATGGCACATTACGCTAACAACAGATTATCCTACATTTTTCTTTCTCTTTGAACAAAATATACCAATTTCTGAAAAACTCCCTAAAGTTTCGCCCCCATATAAGGTAATAAATGAAATTACATGAAAAACTGGCGTAATAGAACAACTGAAACAGGTGCTGCACGGCCCGGTCGGTAAGGGAAACTGACAATTCCGTAGTAAAAAGATGACGTAGTTTGTTCACGTGACTGGGTAATGTTAAAAGTAAGTAAGAAACAGAAATAACGAACAGAAGTCGCGTCACCCTTAGTAACGACCTTTCCTTTCTAGATAACGTCGTGTGTCGTATATCGGGACGCGGATGTCGTAAATGGGAAACGTTTTTCACAAACACGACTATAATAAGAATCATTAGAACAATCGATGGTAAAGCTAATGTTATGACAATGTCTACGATAGTAAATACGGCTACAACAGTTCCATATTGTTCGGGTACTATACAGTACGACGTGTTGTTAAACACAACGACTTTCGTTGACCATAGAGCAAAGTCGTAAAGTAAAAGACTGAACACAGCCAGTCCTATGACGACCAGAAAGGTGCGGTGAACGGTACACAGTTTAGACGCTTTCGACAGGTGGAAAGTAATGATGTAATTTTCGATGGCAATACATACGATCAACCAGACAGATAAGAAACCACACACATATGATGTATATATCACGGTTTGGCACCACCCTTCCTGATGAATCAATCGCACCCCTGTGATTTCCAACCAAACAACGAATAAGGCCAGTAAGAAGGCACTGTTACTTGCGGAAAGTCCCGCTAGATAAATGTTAGACGAAATAGTCCTCATTTTAGCCGACGAAAACACGAGAAATGAAATTAGGTTTCCCAGAACTCCAAAAACACATATAACAGGCTGAAGGTAGAGGGTTAAACACGTGGTAACGCGTGACAAAATGTCTTGTTCCCATTGGTAGTCTGTATCATCCAGTATAATGTGCCCTAATGTAAGGTTTGGCTTTTCCGATACGGATAAATCATTTAACGGGTTATCCATATTCATTTGTATCGGACGGGAGTAATGGTTCTTTAATTGCGCACACTTTATACTTCAATTTCAATTCGAAACTCCGCGAAGAAATGACTTTCAAAAAAAGTGTGTAACAACCTAAAACAGCAATATGGACACGACTTCGCACGATTTACCAATGCAATACAAAGGATTTAACATTTATTTTGTTTACAGTTATCCAGTCAATGTTTTCTTAATGGTAGCCATTTTCGTTTAGTCCTGTTTAACCAGCCTTTATATTGCATTGTTTGTAAATCGAAGATTGTTGACTTTGTTTCCAATAATGCAATATGACACTTTTTCCTAAATCTCGATGTAATATGACGTCATTTCGTATATTGAAAAAATGCAGGATGGCGTCACTTGCTATATTTCAAAAATGCAATATGACGTCACATCTTATATAGTAAATATACAATATCGTATTTAAAATGAGATGTGGCGAAACTTCATTTAATGTAAAACGAAATATTGCTACAACTTCTCTGTTGTAAAAATCTAATATAACTTCGCTTCTGATATTTCAAATCATTTTCACGGATGATAAATTAACCAGATTGTGTAAATTTTTCCACGGAATCCGAAGAGCTTGCTGTAAATTTCTACAAGTAAGAATAAGTGTTAAATCAATTCATTAGTGATATTGTCATGTTTAAGAACATCTAAAAAAAAAAATCCCAGATCACACTATACTGATATATGAAAGTCACCGTTTGCTTAATTCAGCTAATTCGTCATTGGATTGAGAAAAAAAAAAGATTTCCAAAATGAATTGTTCAAGTCACTTTTTCTTTCGAATCAGTTATTTGTCCATTGAGTTGAGAAAGCTATATTAAATATGTGTAAAGCGTGCAACAACCGCGGTTATATCTTGATGCCAGTGTAACAGACCAATTATTACACAACTGTGGACTTTCTTTTGAAGTCGTTTCAAATGTCTCCCAAAAAATCACATTCGTTTATAACAACCAATAGCGTGAAAGTAATTTTAGAAATAGATAAAAACGTTGTACAGGAACCAGATATCCAGATATCAGATTAACCAACTACAAATAAGTAGCGATTAAAACCAGCCCTTTGTCGGAATTACTTCTACTTTGATTACATACAGTAAAATAAAAGGAACATTCTATTCAAAACACAGAGATAGTCAAATGTCAGTTTTAAATCACAAATGTAACAGTCCAAATCCACGTTGTTGCCTGGCTATACTTTATTGCTATCCACAAAATTCAACAAATGACAGTTTAAAAACACAAATGTAGGCTACGCTATTTCCTAGCTATTCTCTGCTGTCATACGTAATCAATTAAAGTATTATTAAACTAAATTGTTAAGGACATTCAAGTTGTAGTTTATGCTGAGAAACGCTCATCTGAATATAAATATTTAATCCGGGAATATGTCCCCAATATAGCTTGTTGCTAACAGTAACCGTATCTATGAATAGCCGGTTTCTTTTTTGAGAAAATATTACAAAACCTCTAGATACACGTTATCATTAAGTGCTCAAATCTTCTTGGAACTGATGAATCGCAGTCATTTATCTACCTATGTAGAGTTATGTTCAACTGACATTGTTCAAATTGCACTTAAGTTTTCTGTTAAAATACTTCACTGGCACACTGGAAAAGTTATGCTCATCACATAAACGTACCAAATCGCTAAATTGTTTTTTTTATTCAAAGTTATGGTTTTTTTTCTGCTGAGAGATTATCTAATTATGTGAATTAATAGTTTGAATAAAACAGCCAAATATTTTGAATAAAACAGCCAATGTAATGGTACGTAAAAGTTATTCTGATGTCAATGGCAATCACTAAAAATGACGAAAGCCAGATTGGAAGCTCCTGTTCTCAAGGTCAAATGTTGTACGTCCTTACTTTAAGATCAAAGGTTATTCGTCCCTATTCGCAAGGTCAAAGGTTACAAGTCTTTATTCGCAAGTCTTATGGTTAGAAGAGCTTATTCGTAAGGTCAAATAGACGTGTAAATATTAGTAAGGTCGTCGTCTGCTTCAGGTTGATTAAATACATTCAGTGTACTGACTAAACCGTTTACCATCGACAAGACACTCAATATCAACTGGATGTGTACAAAAGTAATATTACGAGTTGCTTACGGCCTATAATAATATAACTGGATGTCAATAGATAATATAAGAAGTTGTTTACACGACAATCTCCTTAGAATTTCTTTACGACCTATCCAGTAGCTATTTTCATCTTTAGGTCGATAACATCAATACCATCATATCTATTCTGCAGGTGTCTTCTATTAAACACACACACACTCGATCAGCATTAAAACAGCGCTACACAGTTTCGATTTGTGGTCTTGATAGAACAGTGTAACAGTGGTGTAAACTGAAATAAAAGACAAATACAATAGTATAATGTTAAATACACTAGAAATACACAGGTCACAATTATATGGAATATAATTTATGCCAACACAGTATCTTGCTCATATCTTCAGAACACGAAAGTCGAAAAGTAGAAGTTACGACAAAATGTTAGGCGACAGCACGCTATACAAGCCAAAATCGACTTGAAACTAAGAAATAAACACACCGCGATAATAGTGCTCCTCGTTTTTTTTTCCTAATTTCTTATTTTTGAGTTGTATTGTGGCTTGTATAGCCTGTTGTCTACTATTTTTGTATTTATTGATGTCAGTTACAAGGCACAAATGCGCATACCAAGCCAAAATGCAATTCGACGAAGTAGACCTTAGGAAACTAACACGCCGCGCTATTAGCAACCTATTATTTTGGCTTTCTGTCGTGCTGTCGACTTTTCGGGTTTAGCGTCGGAAGTTGTTGTAGTCCCTAAATTCAAATTTGAATACATACAATTCGCATTAACAAAATGGTTTGTGTGATAAAGTCTAGTATTGATCGCGATATTAGTGACCTATGAATTTGGTTTGCTGTCGTGCTGTCGTGAATACGGGCATTGATAATTGAATATAATTGGATATTATTATTTCAAATTATATTATCACCATGGATAGGAAACATAAGAACTAGTAGAATAGCGTCGATTCTCGAGTGAGAAAACGGTCCCAGAGTTGTTTCATTACCGCCGTCAAGATGCTTTAAAGTGGACGACGATTGTAAGCATCTCTTACAAATGAAATTTCTATCAGGACTATTGTACACGCAAAACATAAAATTTGAAGAAACGGGGTAAAATAACATTTGCATTGCAGGTTCATTTGCACCCATCAGATGGCTTTTCTAATTGTATTATATGTGCCCTATAAATAAAAACTAAATAGTACTGCCGGTACCAAGGGCAATCAAACGAAAAATACAGAAATACAAAACTGACATAGAATAGTGCCATACCTAGTGGTGTATTTGAAAATTCCAGAAATATAATAGTACTTTAGAATAAAAGTGTGAAATCATATACTCATAAGACTGAAGTGCGAAAATATCCGATGCACAAGAAGGGGAAATGAAATGCGGATTAACGATCACCATTGTTGCACGAGCAGGGCTAATGAAGTTGTACAGAACAAATGTATGAAGGCTTTCGGCTTGTTTTTGCAAATAGCATATCATATACTCTTAATGCATGAAATGGAACGTGATAATATCAGATGGAGAGGACGAGGAAACAATAATGTGGTTTAATATGCGGAATTGAACCATATATAGTAGCAAGGCGTTGAGCGTGTTTTGTGTCATGATATACGGTATTTGTTTTTGTTATCAATAAAATGAAATACACGAGGCATATTGTAATGTGACCTTCCGCGTATATTAAAAATATCAGGTGTTTCCAGACATTCGTTAGGTTAGATATAGACAAACCCGAGTTAATTAATTTATCTAACAACGTGACACGAATTGGGCTTATCTGCTATATAACATTAATACACCGAGCAGTGGAGAAAGACATAAACGGCTTAGACAAATCAGGTATTAGCAGTCGCATCCTTCAAGACTAGTATATTATTCGACATTTGCATTTTCCGGACAATGTGTCATTTTCTAGTAGTGTTTTTCCGCCCATTGTGATATCGCAGACAAATTGCCTTATTCTATTAGGCTATGCGCAAGTGCATGAAGGAAACCGGAGTACTAGGAATAAACCCACGAGGTTGGGATATCCCCTATCGTCAAGCCACATACACTCAAACGACCACACGCCAGAGGTGACTGGCCAGCTGGAGCTCAAAGCTCTAATACCCTAATGACTAAACCTTTATATTTAGTTATATTTTGTTTTTTTAACAGCTTGTTGTTCATTTCACATTGCTTTTTATTAGGTCGAGTTTCATGCCATTTGAAATCCAGGAACTCCGATATTAATGCCCTCCATTTACAGAGGTTCTGGGGTTCGGTCTCGGTGTTCCCCGCTATTTCTCAATGTGGTTTCCCTTTGTCAGAGATGTAGGACGGAGGGCCTGGCAAGGAACAGTGTCTAGTCGTTTGGATTGTACAAAAACCGAGGTCCCGATTACATTGGCATGTACGTTAAAGTACCCTTGTCAGTTGGAATTCGAAATAAGAGTAGGCCATAGCGCCGTTCTACTGACAAAATATACCTCATAGCGCATGCTCGGAAAAACCACAATATTGGATAAAAGTAACCTTAAATTCGGAAAATGCTGTAAACTCTGATATGACCTAACCAGTAATTCCTACCCAGTAAATAAATACATTGCTATAACTAATAAAGTTATGGTGGTATTTAAGTCTGAACCAGACAAGCCGCGGGTAATTTTATGTGATTACAAGCTATGAAAGGACAAAATCCAAGATT